ATATAAGTCAGTAGTGTCGTTCAATAACGTCGTTGTCCCTTCTTGTAACCTCGGCATGATGTCGAATGTTCAATTACTTCTGCCAAACGAGGTTGTTAGATGGTTCCTTTTATCGGCCTAACGTTTCGACCTTCTCGTCTTCTTCGAATCGCACAAAGAGCGGTTTTCCAAAGACGAGAAGTTCGAAACGTTAGGCTAATAAAAGGTTTCATCTAACAACCTCGTTTGGCAAAACTAATTGAGCAGAGAGCAGTGTGTCCGTACATCCGTATCCACTCACAGTTTTCCTCGACGAAACCCTTCGATGCTAAAGAGAAAGGTAATAATCACAAAAAGAGCAAAGGGAGTGCTACAATAAGCTGTAACGCCTCATTTGGAAGACCTTTCCGTGAATGAAATAAATCCTATTTCATTGTCAAAGCCGTAATTTCATAAAAAATGTTTTCGTTTCAGTATGATGAAAACGTTGGTCTGCGCTTCGAATCAAATGCAAATGAGTTTGCTGAAGTGGATGCATTATGTGTAATGAATGAGGAACTCGGAAGACTCGAAGTTGAACGTCGAGGATACACCATTTCGATTCCCCAGCCATGTGCTTCTTTAGTCGCAAATGGTTTTATTAAGTACGTTACCTGAACGTTACCTGAAGTTTCAAGCGCACTTTACTATATTTTTTTGGAATAATTTTCGTTATGTTCCTTTTTCATCTTACTGAGAGCTTTATTCCCTTTAAAAACAGTTCCCGCGATCAAGTATCATTTGTAGTGGCTGTTTAATTATGGGAAAGTAGCTGATTCCTCAAAGGAGAAATAAAGTAAAAGCATCCTAAAGGACACCACAAATGAACGCGTCGCACAGCTTCAGTGTACGAGTTCACCGGACATGCTGGCAACTCGACGCCCTGGTAGGCCCTGGCTCACAGATCCCTTTTTCGCATCTTCCAGTACTGGGCGCCATCTAATGTCTAATGTTAAGCAATGTGAAGAAAGTGAAACGATAAACAGCAAAAGTACTGGAGTAAAACTCGTAACGGTAAGTAACTTTCGAAAACTTTGCATACAAATTTAGGTTTACGGTGAGCAATGCACGTGGAGCTTTTGCATTAAGCCGTTGCATAGGTGATTTGAACAAGTCCTACCTTACAATTTAGATTGCTGTTGATTATATGCTCCTAATGAAGAAATATAATAGCGAGACAGTATATGTATGTGCTCGACCGTGTTCGGCAAAAATGGCCATGCAGTTCCGTTTTATGCACGCTAACCCCAACAAACTACAGCTATGAGCCGGTGTTAGGACTAGAACTTTCGGCGGCTGTAGCTTCCTCCTCACTCTTGTGGAGTCGCGGAAGTGGGACAGTCTCTTAGCTTGGGACTGGGCTACTTGCGCAAGGGGGGATGACTACGAATTATTTGAGCGCGAAGATCTCTGAGTCTTAGTTTTCTTCTCACTCATGCAATATTCTATCAGACTGTAATGCATCTAAAAGAAGGTATCGTTCAAGGTATGTAATGCTCTTCTGTAAACGGTTGCTTCAATCTTGTGTGAAACCTCATGCAAGAGGATTCTTTTCTCTTGCTCGACTTTAGATTGTGTTCATACCCTGCAAACGTTGACGAACTGCAAAATTGACGAAAAGGATGAGGTTTATGTCGATGCATTCCTCAATTCTTGTAATTTTCAGACCGATATGTATCTTATCGTATTCGTCAGTTCGTCAGTTCTTCACTGTCACAGGGCTTCTGTGAACACTAGAACCTATGCATGTTGGCAAATAACTGACTATAAGAAAAATAAATTTGAGCTATGAAAACAGTGTGTTATAAGAGAATCCGTAACTTCCGATCTAGGAATAGCCCCTACGCTTCCTAGTTGCTACTTTCAGGACATCCCATAGAATGTGCCCTATAAAGTGCTACCTTCCCTGAGTTTTTGCATTTTAATTACAAAACCCTCCAAATTCTGAGCGGAAAATAATTCAAATTCAACCCTGTCAAAGTGTCCCCGTTTCACAACTTTTGTCATTCGATCCGCCTGGAATCAAAAACTTTGTTCTGTATGCATGAGTTCCCCAACTGTTTGCTGGAAAAGTAACCCGCTTCCTAAACGATGGGTTTCTATTGGGTAAGGAAACAGAGGATAGTTCTGAGCAAAACTATGTATATTCAGGTATGTGAGATGGTTCGAAGATATTCATCTCAAAGGTCCCGTTTTTATTTGCTCCACAGTATCTTCTATCAGTAGTTCTGACGTGAAAGATTTCATTCGAAAGTATTGTGGCGGTTCGTTTATTTCGAATTGTTCAAAGTCTTTGGAAGTGTTTAACGCGAAGGAATTGTAGATAATAAAACAATACTTTTAGAAAGTCCACCAATCGAGCAAATTGATTATTCATCTGCAAGCATTCTAGGACGTGTTTACATAGAGGACTGCATCACGTTAACAGAATTTAAAAGAGAGGTGATCCTTTAATTTTTTTTTCTTTTTTGTACCGATGAGGTGGTCAAAATGTAACTTTCTATCAACGGCGATTTATCGACCAAGTAGTCCTAGGAGCTATAAACGTAGCTTAACATTTGAGATTTGTTTCTCAAAAACAGTTCCCGCGATCAAGTGACCCGCGAAATGCTTCCATACATTTATCCAGGTCCGCTCTTGCTGGAAGTACCACTATCCTCCCTTGGAACGGCGATATAAAGGGGCCGCGGCTTGTGGCCTTTGTCCTTTTCAGTCTGCAAGACAGCGACGTACACGGTGAAACGCGTGAATGCTTTCTGCT